AAATCAAACTCGAGCTTTGGAATTGTTTGACGAGATCTCAGAGTAGGTTATATACCTTCTCTTTATCTAGGAAACGATTGTGTGGGTTGTTATCTTCGCCTACCCGGCAATAGTTAACAATATAACGAATTAATCAAAACGTCGCCAACGCATTCAAGTCAGCGAATTCTCGCGTGGACTAAATGTTGAATTAAGATTTCAACATCACAGGACTTAGAAAACTCGCATGAGCGCTCCGTCCCCATCTTCAGCAGCAAGCGAAGAGTTCCAATTCCGATGGTACCAGTAACTGCTTGTATATCTGTCTCGCCCTTCCCTTAAGTGTCGAGCGTCCCCTGATAACTTCTCGCAGCGCCATTCTTCTCAGACCGTAATGATCTATCTGTGCCTCTGCACTGTTCACTCGCTCCCAAAGGGCCCTCACAACATGTAGGTTGTCATACACCCATTACCATCACGTTGTGCAGAACCGACCATTCAATCTGTGTGCTCATTTCCTAACACACCGGCATACCCTGAAAAAATATCTAAAGGATGTAAACTAGCCGGAACCTCTGAAGTGATGCTTGCCACTCTGCACGGAGCATGCATGTCTTCACCTTTCTCAACATGCTCTGATAGGCGCTGTTTAAGGGAAAATAAGGAGTCCTTTTCCACACCTTCATGCATATTGGGCATATAGGGCTAGATCTATATTGTATAAACCAATCGGCACTTGCTGGGTGAGGCGGTTACCACCACGCCGGTCGTCTTTACTTCACAGGACTTTACCTGTGACCCATTTGAAGGCTGGGTCGGCCTGGAAGACAAAGTTATTAAAAAAAAACAAGTCCGGTATCGTCACGGTCTGAACCCGCGACCTTCCGATCCTCAGCCGAGCATCAAGCCGCTACACGACGACGGCTGCCTAAACACGGTTTATCGACAATGTAGTTTCTGAAAAGCTCTTTTCTGAGCTGTTGTAGACGATAATTGATCTTTATTTGGTTACAGACCTCTATCAATGACGTCACTTCCTTCACCGCCGATGTACCCGCGCTCTTAGCAGCTCAGCTACATTTGAACTGTCTTCATTAGGTGACTCGTCAGCTGAAAACGGGACATCCTATCCCATTAATATCTTGATAAGAAAACAGGACATCCCATCCCATTTATATCTTAAACTGAAAACGGGGTATTCCATCCCATATATATCTTAAACTTAAAAAAACATGGATATCCCATCGCCATTTATATCTTGAACTGCTTGAACTGAAATCGGGACATCCAATTCCATTCCATTAACATCTTGAAATGAAAACGGGACATCCATCCCATTAATATCCTGAGTAGAAAACTGGACGTCGGCTCTGTGGCTAAGTCGATGCGAAAGCATTGTAATGCCGGAATGTCGGGTTCGATCCCTGCTGCGGGCCATGCGCCTTGCGTTGGTTTCGACAGTGGTATCAAGAAAGCCGACCGTCTAGAAGCAATGGCAAACAACTGGACGTAAATTTGCCTAGAAAAACCACACAACATCCAGGGGCTGTTGGGCTTGGTTCTGCAACGTCCTGTAAATAATACGCAACTAACCGTTAGAAAACTGGACGTCTCTCGGAATGTACTTCAACCACGCACCATGTTTGTAGGTGACTGGGGTGGAAGGGCTAACTACTCGCTAAACAATGTTACTGAAACCCGAACCATTGACGGACAAAAAATTTGCTTAAATGATATGCTCTTTAACACCACAGAAACAAAAAGAACATACTTCGGTGAAAACGTCCGTCAACAAATGTCAACAATTAAAACTATCCATCGCTATAAAATCTACTTAGGTCTACATAACTAGCATGTATATGTGTATGTTTTTTGGTTTTGTTTATCTCGTATCAAATACCTAGATTTTTTTTTTATAATGGACTTTTTTTTAAGTACTCATGGGACGGCTGGGACACACCTAAAAAGGTAAACGGGGACATATAGTTACCCTATCCCTACGTGGTCACAGAAACATACCCACAAAAGTAATCGCTTCCCGAGAACAACAGTTCATCTGACCAGTGACTGAAAGATAGATTAGCTTTCACACCCAGAAGACATCATCATCTACAGAGACGGGTCCGTGAATCAAGTTCAGAATGGGCATACACAGCACAAAGGATGGGGAAAACAAAACAAAAGGACAGCGGCGCTTACTAGGTAACTACGTCAAGCATGATCATGGATGTATCGGCTGCTTCTAGAGTACTAGCGTGAGTAGCACAGCAAACAGCCACACAGGCAGTAATTGTGTCATAAGACTTCATGAACATGCTTCATAAGATAGCAACAGATGGTATGCGCTCTGAATGGGTAGAAAGCATTCGAAAATCACACTTAACCTCCCACACCTGGATCTATACACCTGGCAACACTGGCGTAAAAGGTAATCAGTGAGCGAACCAACTGGCAAACAATGCACTAAGGTATGTGTGAAGAAGCATGAATAGAGCACATATTGTCAGCGCTATACGAACTGGGCTATTGGGTAATGACGAACATCTGACATTAACATGATTGCGTAACATAGGAGTAGAGCATGGTGAAGCACGTCTATGCCGCCTTTGAGTTCGAGATAGGAGTTATTATAGCCAATCTCTCATGGGAACATTTAGTATGAATACCTTGGAATGACTGCTGCATTTGAGGACTGAGCACGCATGGGAATGCCCACTATGCAGTGACGTCGATTTTGATAAGATAACATACCATCTGACTGACGAATAAACAACCTACAATTAAAAATGCGAGGGTGCCCATCCTTAATGTTGTACTAAGGTCACACATATTATTGAAAAGCATAACTAATTATTTCCATCCAGAGTTTCACATTGCTCTATTTACTGGACTGTACCCGCAAATCCCGCGTCCGTGGCTTAGGCGTTGCGAGTCTGACTCATAATTCTAACATTCCGCGATCGAAACCTACTGCTGGCTGCGTGGATTTTTATCATGGTATGGGGCGTCACCTCGGCTCTTGGCTAAGTCGATGCGAACGCTTCGTAATGCCGGGATGCGGGGTTCGATCCCAGCTGCGGGCCATGCACCTTGCGTTGGTTTCGACAGTGGTATCAAGAAAGCCGACCGTCCAGAGAGCAATGGCAAACTACTGGACATAAATTTGCCTAGACAAACCACACAACAGCCCCTACCTGTAAAGGGTACGCAACTAACCTTCATGGGGCGTCACATGTCGACCCAGACTAAAACGGGTACAAGAAAATGTATGTTCTTTTGGGAAGTATAACTGCCGGCGTAATGCTGACCACATTACGAACCTAGTGCTGATTGATCTGTAAAAATATGGGTGCTCTTCCCATATGCCCGATATACCCAGAAGTGTGAAATTGGATCATTACTTACTTACCCGCAAATCACATTGGTCTTGAACATTAAACTTGTAGGACTTTCTTTTAGCAAAAAAGGTGCCGGTATTTACCACAAGGTGTCAGTAAAAGGTACTGGTACTCACCAGAAAGTGTCTATTACAGCCATAGAGAAACAATTAAGTTGCGAGCTGCCAGAAAAGAAAAGATCTCGTTTGGAGTCCTCAATTTAAAAGAAACAGAGGGTAAAATCATCATCATCAAGTGCCTTGCCAGCTGGCATGGGCGTTCTTGCATCTCCACAGATCTCGGTGTTCTGAACCAATTCCACGGATGATATACCTCTATGTAGCTGTCTCAAGCCATCCAGCATCATCTCTCGTGGTCTGCCTCTGCCTGCATCTTCTATTGGTGATTTTTCCAGTCGTCACGATATTTTCCAGTGCTCCTTTTCTCATCACGTGACCAAAGAACTTTGTTTTCTTATTGTTGTATATAATGTTATACTTTTATTAGCCATTTCAATGCAATCATTGTAAGTTATTCTGGCGGTGCAAAGTATTTGCAACATTCTTCATAAGAACAACATTTCAGTTGCCTCCAAATTTTTCTTAATACATCAGGAAAATAAAACACTGAATAGTTGGTTAGAAAATCAAGTGAAAGATCCTTTTCAGGCCTTATTGCTCATCGGTCGTTGATTGCTTGCCGCATACTTTCACAGACCAGTAGTCACTCGATGTGCGATGTGGTCAACATCATCTCTGTCGCCTTTACTTCCCAAAACATTTCCTAATAATGTAAGCAGAGTCGATCTGGTAGGACAGATTAGCTTTTAAAATAAAGTTAAACATGTTCAGAATTCGAATCTTTGACAAAAGCACCGCCAGGCAAATCACAATACTGAACAGAAGAGGGAAAAAGGAGGAAGACACAATGTGTCATTTAAAATGGTGGGGGCCTTAGGGTTTTATATCACTTAGGGCTTCATTGACCCTGCCTGTGCCAGTCTTTAAATCCCTCAGGGCTTCATTGTCTAAATCCGACCCTGCCTTTACCCATCTTTATATCCTTTTAGGGCTTCATTGAGTCTAAATCCGACCCTGTCTGTATCAGTCTTTATATCCTTCAGGGCTTCATCGAATCTAAATCCGACTCTGCCTGTTCCAGTCAATACTATTCGAATGTGAACTTGCACATAATCTAGTGTTTAGGTCATGACATACAATGTGGAAGATGGCTAGTTTCGTATGTAGTTGTCTAGTCTCTCTGTTTTAAAATGTCCGTCCCCATATGGAACGCAATTTTTCGTTATCTTGAAAACCCCACCCTGGCTGTTGCCGGTGGCCCCAATTAACCCAACCAATGGATTCAGCGGGGATTTTAGGACCTGTTTTCAGGTGATCATCATCCGAATGGTGGCACTTTAAGTCACCGGGTGTTTATCTCTCGGTGTGATGTCCCGGTGGGGTAAAACGCCAGTCAGTTAGTCTCCTCAGGCAATTCTGAAAAATATGTTGTCCTTATTGTTATTTAAGCGGGACGATCTGAGGGCGATACTTGTCGGAAAAATAAAGTCATGCTTTTGGCGGGGATGGAACTTAAGATTTGACATGGGCACTTGTGGTAACACAGACCCTTATCTTGATATAGTTATGTTTGTGCAACAAAACCACTGTCTTGGTATAGGCCACTGTCTTGGAATGGATCTCTGTCTTGGCATGGATCACTATCTTGGTATGGGCCACTATCTTGGTATGGATCACTATCTTGGTATGGATCACTGTCTTGGTATGGGCCACTATCTTGGTATGGATCACTGTCTTGGTATGGATCACTGTCTTGGCATGGATCACTGTCTTGGTATGGGCCACTATCTTGGTATGGATCACTGATTTGGTATGGGCCACTTCCTTGGCATGGATCACTGTCTTGGCATGAATCACTGTCTTGGAATGGGCCACTATCTTGGTATGGATCACTGTCTTGGTAAGGATCACTGTCTTGGTATGGATCACTGTCTTGGTATGGATCACTGTCTTGGTATGGGCCACTATCTTGGCATGGATCACTGTCTTTGTATGGGCCACTATCTTGGTATGGATCACTGTCTTGGCATGGATCACTGTCTTGGTATGGGCCACTATCTTGGTATGGATCACTGTCTTGGTATGGGCCACTATCTTGGTATGGATCACTATCTTGGTATAGGCCACTGTCTTGGCATGGATCACTGTCTTGGTATGGGCCACTATCTTGGTATGGATCACTATCTTGGTATGGATCACTGTCTTGGCATGGATCACTGTCTTGGTATGGGCCACTATCTTGGTATGGATCACTGATTTGGTATGGGCCACTTCCTTGGCATGGATCACTGTCTTGGCATGAATCACTGTCTTGGAATGGGCCACTATCTTGGTATGGATCACTGTCTTGGTAAGGATCACTGTCTTGGTATGGATCACTGTCTTGGCATGGATCACTGTCTTGGTATTTGTGACGTGACGCGTGGTTTAAATGTTTATGTTGTTGAGTAGGGATCTTCCTTTCAACACATTCTCTCCACTAGATACACCGAACTAAAATCTGAGCTATGTTGCTCTCAGACAAAGTCCTGGATATCCAAGAAAACAGCCATATTGGCTCGTTAAGTATATTAACATTAGCTGAACTTGGTACCCACAAGAGAAGGCAAGGAATTTTAGATGTCTATCATACTTAATGTTAATGAATTATTAGACAGGGCAAGTGATTCCTCCGTCATCTACCTTCTCCCGGTGTTATTATTAATAATTAAAGAATTATTATATTATTTGAGCCCCCACCAAATGGTAATCTATCTTAACAGTTTCATTAAACATGTAAGAACAGACATTTGGAATTTAACAAACTATGTAGTTTAAAACTTGACATACAGCTTTATTTACTACAATGAAATTCCCAGTTTTGATTTACACAAACAGTGACTGGTTAACTTGATGATGGTGGTAAGCTTCAGCGAGAAAAAACAGCTCGGGGTTTAGAGTGGTATGATAATGATGATAAATAGGTTAACATAAAGCTTATAAGCCTCTGACAAACAGCCGTGAGGAACTGTCAAGCTTGTCCAACTCTTCCTTGCTTGTTGGTCCTGCCTGTTTCAGCTATATTCTCCACTTCATCCCCACCTCGTTCTCCACCTCGTTCTCCACCTCGTTCTCTCACCTCGTTCCCAGCTGGGCCGAGTCTAACACAATGTAAGGCTACTTCATGGACTGATCGTCACATGGGCGCCTGTGGAAACAAAACACATACGTGTAGTATCTTGACTTACACTAAGAATACATGTATCATTAATACAACATATAATAATACGATATAGCCCATCACTCCTCCTCATATTCCACATCCTCTCCAGTCTAGTCTGAAGGTCTTTTGTCTACATGGGCGTCACTATCCTGCCTTTCCCTCAAATGCTATGTCATGATAGTTAGACTTTCTAAGTCTGTTGTCCGTCATCACTCAGACTTCCAACTGGCTGACATAGATTTGACATACACATGTTGGCGCAGGTTATGTGCTGAAAACGCAAACATTTATATGTGCACGCCTGTCCTGAATATTTATCTTTCAGTGACAGTGAATTCTATACACCCATCTTCTTCCCCTGAGGTTATAAATCCCCTGTCAGGTGACACATTAAGATGAGCACATGGTGGGCACACAAACGGAGCAACATCCCTGCACATATTTGGGCATCATTTCCCACAGTCCAAACTCAGTTTTGGCTGAGCGTGAAAACAATATAATTACATTTCATTATAGCAAAAGTCATTGTTCACATCTTATTTTATTTATTCACATGAAACCATACACATGTGACACAAACATACAAGAAATAGGAAAGAGTTAGCAGTTCACTAACTGAATACGGAACACAAAGAACTATTTTCAAGCAGAATGTGCAGACAAATTAGGAAAAGGTAGTATAGACTAAAAGCTTAACTCCCTAACCTAAGTATACAAGATTAAAAATTATATATTTCACCTGTGGAACTTTCCATTAATCGCCAAAACAGAATGCGACCGTAAAATTTACCTTTTAGGTCGATCTGTGTTGTTTGCCGCAGGCTGCGATTACTGACGGAAATTCCACAGGCTGAAGTATAAGTATCAATCTATTGTCCAAATTGAGTTTTTACAACCCTCAAGATGGATGCTTAAAGCACGCCCGAGTTGTAACTATCAGATCACTTGGCTAACAGTGACCTGTTCACTCAATTCTGGAATGGACAATCCTCTAGAGCAAACATCTTAGGTGACCCAATCTCGTTTACAACGAATCTAACTGGCAGGTGTAAAAGACGTTCCGTGAAAGCCATTGTCGTTCCTACTTGAACGCAGATCAACAGTCCTACATTGCCCCACACAACTGGTCTCCCCCGAATACACTGACGTGTGACAGGCGTGAGAATGCAATCTAACATCCCTAGTCTGAACCAGCGGGCTATATTACGTAGTGTTGGGTAATTTTAAACAAAGCGCAGTGGCTTGTCTCGAAGAAGGACTGGTAACAATTTAAATCCGTGCGGTTTAAAGCAATATTAGGATAAAGCGCAGAGTAAATATAATTCTGTCTCTTTAGAACCAGAAGAACTTATTACAAGTACTAACTTCTGGAATCACTGAGATCGTCTCGTGACAGTATTGATCACTGTCTTGGCATGGATCACTATCTTGGTATGAATCACTGTCTTGGCGTGGATCACAGTCTTGGCATGGATCACTATCTTGGCATGGATCACTGTCTTGGTATGGATCACTGTCTTGGTATGGGCCACTGTCTTGGCATGGATCACTGTTTTGGCATGGATCACTGTCTTGGTATAGATCACTGTCTTGGCATGGATCACTGTCTTGGTATAGATCACTGTCTTGGCATGGATCACTGTCTTGGTATGGTCCACTGTCTTGGCATGGATCACTGTTTTGGTATAGATCACTGTTTTGGTATGGATCACTGTCTTGGCATGGATCACTGTCTTGGCATGGATCACTGTCTTGGCATGGATCACTGTCTTGGCATGGATCACTGTCTTGGCATGGATCACTGTTTTGGTATAGATCACTGTTTTGGTATGGATCACTGTCTTGGCATGGATCACTGTCTTGGCATGGATCACTGTTTTGGTATGGATCACAGTCTTGGCATGGATCACTGTCTTGGCATGGATCACTGTCTTGGTATGGATCACTGTCTTGATATGGACCACTGTCTTGGTATGGACCACTGTCTTGGCATGGACCACTGTCTTGGTATGGATCACTGTCTTGGTATGGTCCAGTGTCCCGCTATCTACTTAGTATGGATCGCTGTCTTGGCAAGGACCACTGTGTTTGCATAGACCACTGGCTTGGCACGGAATGCTGACTTGGCACGACCGAGTTTAAAACGAGTTACTCGACTGTGCCTGTCACAACAGAAGTAGCTTGGGCGTGGAGTCAGAAATATGAAGTGCCTGTTGTTAGGAAATGATTCTTAGTGCATTGCTCTTGATTCCATATCCCATAAGTTATGTAGGCGTGTTGGGAAAAGCCATTATTGTTATCTGTGTGTCAACGCTACAGGTAGTCAGGGCTGCACGGAGATAAAAACTGATACTGATTTGTGAAACGGACGGGGGAGTCATATACCCGCCTTTGAAGCAAAACGTATGATGTATGCCAGGACCAAAAGTGCCCAAGAGCTGACCAAATGTTCTCTGTGTGTGGGTTCCGGGGCCCCATACTGGACAAAAGTAAGTTGCGTATCCTTAACAGGACGTTGCAGAACCAACCCCAGCATTTCTTTGCTGCTGTGGTTATTCTAGGCAAATTTACGTCAAGCAGTTTGCCATTGCTTTCTAGACGGTCAGTTTCTCGATACCACTGTCGAAACCAACGCATGGCGCAAAGCCCGCATCTAGGACCGAACCCGGTACCCCGGCCTTACGAAGCGCATTCGCAACGCCTAAGCCACAGACGCCGACATACTGGACAAACATGTCGTAAAAGGCGACTAATTAGGGATATTTCCGTTGAAGTCAGAGAGCATTTGCCTGAGAGGTAAGGAACCGACTGTCTGCATACAAATGATTCAGTTGTGTTAAAACGGATGTGCACGCAATTCTCGAGTTCTGGAACAAGACCAGAGTGGGTGAACAACCCGAACTTTCAGCCCGAGTTTCCAGCAGGTGAACGTCAAGAAGAAAAAGACGGAACTTATGTCTGGACCTGTGATTACTTCAGGTAATAAAAAAGCTAACCAGCTGTGAACACGCCTAACGAGGAAACGAAAATAAACATGCAGTCACATGTGAACGGCTGTGGACTGGGGAATGTTCATACGAGAATTATAAATGTAATGGGGAAAAAAACAAGGGGACTACTCACTCGTCGAGACTTATGGTTGTTTCCACGGGCTGTCCTATGTTCTAGGGCTGTTATCAGATTTCGTCCTTCACCGTCTTTACATAGCGTGCCGAAAAATGTGGCTCGGGGTCATTCGACGCTGTCGACACACTGTTTCTAGACGAAAGTGCGAAGCTTTCTTTTCTGCAATTGTCTGTGAAGGACTGTTGTTGTTGGAATGTGTTGTGATTGGCTCAGGGGCCGGAAGAAGTACTGCAGGGGAAAGCGCCGTAGGCGCGACGGTTTGTGAGCATCGAATCACTGACTTTCTCTATTGTTACGCTCGTTGGCGGCGGCTTTCGGTGGTTGTGGATCTGCTTAAAACGTTGAAAACGAGTAACACATGACACTTCTAGACTCAGGAGTGTCCTGGGAAATCCCTTACGTAGAAATGGGATGACTTTCATGTGTTGTACCGAAAAGCGAAGTAAATCTGGGCTGCAGACAGAGAGAGAGAGAGAGAGAGAGAGAGAGAGAGAGAGAGAGAGAGAGAGAGAGAGAGAGAGAGAGAGAAAGAGAGAGAGAGAGAGAGAGAGAAAGTGAGAGAGAGAGAAAAAAAAAGAGAGAAAAAAAGAGAGAAAGCACAAAGATAACTAAATAAAGTGAAGGACCCTTTTCCATGTCTTCAGGCATATTGGGCACATTTAGCTAGACCAATTGGCTGTCAGTGGGCGATGGGGTAAACACCACCATGGCTGCCTTTACCTCCCAAGACTGTACCTGGTATCCATTTAAAGCTGGATCGGTCTATGAGCCAGGTCATTTTTTGGGGGTAAATGTCCGGCTTCGTCAGAATCTGAAAATACGACTTTCCAATCCGCAAGCGAGCGTCTAGCCCATACACCACACTGGTTTCAGGGTTGCTGGCATTTTCCCCACTAAAATCGAAGGTGGATGAGACGGCAAGGACCAGAAATTAGCTGCATCTGATTGTAGAGGATAAAACGACTAGAAGACATTTAAGAACAAGACACTACAGATTTGACACACACATGTATAGAATACAGACCGCCCAGTTTGCCAGCTTCTTCTTCTTCTTGTGTTTGCTTTCTGATTT